TGCTCATGTTTATACTCAAAATAGTCTAGTAGAATCATTTATCAAAAGCCTCCAATTGATAGCTAGACCATTACTTATGAAAACAAAACTCCCCATTTATGTTTGGGGACATGCAATTTTACATGCAAGCAACACTTATTCGTATCGGACCCACAAGTTATTAGAAATTATCTCCACTTCAATTGATTTCGGTCATGAGCCTAATATTTCTCATTTGAAGATTTTTAGATTTGCGGTATATGTCCCAATTACTCATTCACAACGAACTAAAATGGGTTTTCAAAGGAAATTGGGAATATATGTTGGATATGAATCTCTTTCTATAATTAAATATTTTGAACCATTAACGAGGGATGTTTTCACGACTCGTTTTGTCAACTATCATTTTGATGAAATAATTTTTTTAACATTAGGGGGAGAAAATAAACAAAATAAGTAGTTGAAAATGTTGAAAAAAGAAATTACATGGAATACTTATTCTTTATATCATCTTGATCTTTGTACAAAACAATGTGAACTTGAAGTTCGGAGGATAATTCATTTACAAAGTCTTACAAATCAATTGCCGGATGTATTCTTTGATCCAAAGAGAGTAAATAAATCACATGCTCCCGCCGAGAATGCTCTTATTAAAATTGATGTCCTTGTAGGATAACCTATTAATGTTATAACAAATCAATCTAAAGCACGCTTGAAGCATGAAAGATCGATTGGTTCTAAAGATAAAAATCCCGAAAAGAAAAAAAGAAAAAATAATCAAGATGAAAATATAAAAGAACCGAGATAAAATGGTCCAAGATGTTTTTGATAACAAGCTTCCAAAAGAATCCCAAATGCTTGAGAAAAATCAAAAAATTTGGATAAATTATGTTAACACAGGGAGAAAATAGGATAAAAAAGAAATATTCATTGATAACATTTTTACATATAATGTGGTAATTGATATTTTGAATAAGAATCCTAAGCCTAAATCTATTAAAGAATGTCAATATAGAGACAATTGGCCTAAGTGGAAAGATGCAATTAAGGAAGAATTAAAGTCTCTCACAAAATAAGCTATTTTTGGACCCATAGTTAAAACACCCGAAGATGTTAAGCCAGTAGGATACAAATGGATATTTATGTAAAAACAAAATGAAAAAGATGAAATTGTGAGATACAAAGCAAGACTTGTAATGCGAGGGTTTTCACAAAGACCTCGCATTGGCTATGAAGAGATATATTCTCCTGTAATGAATGCAATTATATTTCGCTATCTTATTAGTTTGACGAAGATATGAAAAACTTTATATGTATTTAATGGATGCAATCACAATCTATTTATATAGGTCACTTGATAATGATATCTATATAAAAATCCCGGAAGGACTTAAAATGCATGAAGCATGTAAAATATATTCTCGAGAGATGTATTCGATTAAATTACAAAGATCTCTATATGGATTGAAACAATCTAGACGTATGTGGTATATTCGTCTTAATGATTATTTATTAAAAGAAGATTATAAAAATAACCCAATTTATCCATGTGTCTTTATAAAGAAATTCGAAAAAGGGTTTGTGATAATTGTCGTATATGTTGACGATTTAAATATAATTGGAACTTCGAAGAGATTTTGAGTGCCATAAATTATTTAAGAAGAGAATTTGATATGAAAGATCTTGAGAAAATAAAATTTTATCTCGGTCGTCAGTTCGAATACTTAAAAGATGGAATTTTTATTCATCAGTCAACATATATAGAAAAGGTACTACAAAGATTCTACATGGATAAGGCTCATCTATTTACTAGCCCAATGGTAGTTTGTTCACTTGATATTCAAAAGGACCCTTTTTAACCTCGAGAAGATAATGAAGAACTTCTTGGTCCCGAAGTACCATACCTTAGTGTAATTGGTGCATTAATGTATGTTCGTAATAATACTTGACTCGATATAGCATTTTTTATAAATTTATTAACAATATATAGTTCTATTCCAACACAAAGACATTGGAATGAAATTAAACATATACTACGTTATCTCCGAGGAACAATTAATATGGGCTTATATTACTCTAACATATCAAAAACTGGATTAATTGATTATGCGGATGCGGGTTATTTATCCGATCCACACAAAGCTCAATCTCAAATTGGTTATGTATTTATATATGGAGATACAACTATATTATGGCGTTCTATGAAGCAAACTATAGCTGCCACATCTTCAAACCATGCGTAAATACTAGCAATTCATGAGGTAAGTCGAGAATATATTTGATTAAGATCAATTACCAATCATATTCGAGAGAGATGCGGTTTATCCACTAGCAAGGAAGTTTCAACGAGTCTTATATGAAGATAATACTGCTTGCATAGCTTAATTAAAGAAATGATACATCAAAGGTGACGAACGAAGCATGTATCGCCAAAATTATTTTTCACACATGATCTTCAACGGTGATATTAATGTTCAACAAATTCGATCAAGTGACAATCCAGCAGATTTTTCACTAAGACATTACCTACCATAATTGAGAAGATGATTCACAAGATTGGAATGCATCGTCTTAGAGATCTTAAATAATGCCTTCAACGAGGGGAGACCAAAAAGGAGAGTAATGTGTGCAAGGAATATTGTACTCTTTTTCCTTCACTAGGATTTTTTTTCACTGGATTTTTTCCTAGTAAGGGTTTAACGAGGCATGTTCATTGTACAATGGATATTCAAGGAGGAGTGTTATGAAATAATGAATGTCTATCTACTTTTCATGTCTCAACTACTCATGATCCTTAATGTGATTCAATTCACCATTTAATACGAGAAATTGAAAGGGTGATGCAATTGATGTACTTTTAATTATTCATAATCCTTTTTAATTCTTATCTCAATTTTGAAACATATAAACAAACTTGATTGTTCATTAGTTGATGTACAAATTTTTAGAAATATTAAGAGAACAACTTGAGTTCTTATCACTTTTATTCACTTTATAGTGAATTCTTTTTCTTGTCATCCTTCTCTTTAAATTCTCTTATTATTTATATTTTTCATAACAAAAAATTATTAGATATATAAAGAATTGTACTTTATTTTTTCATTAAAATATTTTATAGACCTTATATTTTTATAAAAAAATCAAAATTTTAATAACATAAGAAATTATTAAATATCTTAAGTACTGCACTCTATTTTTTCATTAAAATAATTTATGAATCTTATATTTTTTGTAAAATAATAAATTATTGTAATCGGTATATTAAGCAGAAGGCCAAAACTATGGCAACATTATTGACCGGTTGCCTAAAACTTCACCTATTCGAAAGCCACCTGTTGATAATAGAAGGCAATGGCATTGTAATCAAGCAACGCCATTATAAAAGAATGGCATTTTAGTAGGGTTATAGAAATTAGAGTCAACTTGGGAATGTAGTGTTTTTCAATTGACCAATTCAATAGCCATTAATTCTCTCCACTCGATTAAAATTTAATTGCTTTTATTCACTTTTAAATTACTCGTGATTTAATGTAACTATAGTGGAATAGTTTTTGTTTGAAAATATGATTCATCGTCTAAAGAAAATTATTAATTTTGTTATTAATAACATTTAAACTAAACATTAATTTATATCGACGGATATTTTGTTCACAGTTTTTTTTTTTTAAATAATGTCATAACATATTTTGTTCACCTGTTCACACCATTACTTGAACTTGATCCTTGTGTTTCTAGCTATATAATAATCTCACTCATATTTATGAATTAAGCTAAGTAACAAACAAGCAAGATCTTATTTTTTCTGGTAAAAATGGAATGCCAGAGAGAGAGAGAGAGAGAGAGAGAGAGAGAGAGAGAGAGAGAGAGGAGCTTTAACACTTGTCATTATTGCTAGCTACCACCGATTGGTGAACGCTTTCTCTTGAAGTGGTTATATATTGGAGTATGTGGCTGTGGTTTACATAAAACATGAAAGGGAGAGGAGGCCAAAGTGAGCACGGCGCCGAAATAAGGAAATAGTCCCCTTCGCGCATGTGTCCAGGTCCCCCATGACAACACTTATAAATGGTTTTATTCAATATTCATTAAAAAAAAAAAAAGGTTATAAATGGTTAAATTAAATTTTTCTTTCCTTTTGTTTCGTTTTTTTCTTTTCAATTTTTTAGTGCCACTAAAAGGGTTTATCGAAAGACTTTGAGAATTGGAGTTGGATAATAGATTTAATGATTAATATACTCATTCTTACTCTCTTCAAAATTAAATTTATCACTTCTTAAATTTAATTAATATAAAAAATTATTTAATTTTTTATTATTGAATTGTTTTATACTGTAAATCAGTCTAAATCCAATACTATGAGACAATAATTATAACTAATTATTTGTAAATAATAAAAATTAAATTTTGATGTTGATAAGATCAAAATAACTTTTGATGACTGATCACATTTCTTAATAATACTTGACTATCTATTTTTTTTGACTCGTCCACAAGCACAATCACCCAAATAAAAAGTGACAAGAGACGAATGCTTGCACACACATTTTACATTTCTGCCGCAAAAAACACCACACATGAAAGAAAGCGAAGAAGACAGTGTTCTCTCACTCAATCTCAACCCAAAATTCACACACAAATATAATATCTGGAAATATGTGATCATGCCCCCGTTGCATATATTTTAAAATACCATTATTTCCACGTTCCATTTCGCGTCAATTTCACTTTCCTTGCACTTGCACTACCCCTCTCCCCCTATAATTATCGCTCTTTACATTCTCCTTCAATGCCCCCATCTCCCTCTCTCTCTCTCTCTTTGGGAACTTAGACCGTTTCTTTCATCGTTTTACTCACTCACTCTCTCTCTCTCTCTTTTTGGGAACTTAGACCGTTTCTTTCATCGTTTTACTCACTCTCTCTCTCTCTCTAAGCTAATTACTACTAAAGACTATGTGCAATGTTTCATGGTACCTCTAATCATATATATAGGATCAACCTTGGAGACCAAACCTACCAAAGTCATGAATAAGCTCCAAGATTGGCCCGAACCAATAGTCCGTGTACAATCCTTGTCCGATAGCGGCATGCCCATAATTCCAGAGCGATATGTCAAGCCCCCACTTGAGAGGCCATCCATAAATTCCACTATTTCAAGTGATGTGAACATCCCTATAGTTGATCTCGCCGGACTATATGGTGATGATCATGCTCTTCGAGCCACTATACTCGACCAAATTTCTGTAGCATGCCGGGAGTGGGGGTTTTTTCAAGTTATTAACCATGGTGTTAGCCCTAAATTGATGGACCGTGCTCGAGAACTATGGAGACAGTTTTTTAATTTGCCCATGGAGGTTAAGCAAGCTTATGCAAACACTCCCAAGACTTACGAAGGTTATGGTAGCCGGTTAGGGGTTAAAAAAGGTGCCATTCTTGATTGGAGTGATTACTACTTTCTTCACTATCTTCCTTTAGCATTGAAGGACTATAAAAAATGGCCTACCATTCCATCTGATTGCAGGTATACATATAAATATATATATATATATATATTGCAATCCTTTTCAGAACACACATATATGCATATTTATTTTAGCACACTAAAATTACTGGGAAGCTTTTCAAGTTGCAAATTCGACGTGTCATATTGATTTCCTATGATTCATGTTATAAAATTGACCACACTTTTTCTGGCCACTTACAGTTATCATCAAATGTAACTGTTTTATATCAACCATATATTTGGATTTTACCTACCTAACGTTGGATTTGTTGATTTTTTTTTTTTTTTAATACCAGAATTTCAATTTAGTTTTAAGTAACTAGCTTTTGCCAATTAATTTGTAGGGAAGTGCTTGATGAATATGGTAAGCAATTGGTGGAGCTATGTGGGAGGTTAATGAAGGTTTTATCAATAAACCTTGGATTAGGAGAGGAACAACTTCAAAATGCACTTGGCGGCGAAAATGTTGGGGTATGCCTAAGAGTTAATTTTTACCCTAAGTGTCCACAACCTGACCTGACCCTTGGTTTATCTTCACATTCGGATCCCGGGGGCATGACCCTTCTCTTGCCAGACAATCATGTCCCTGGTCTTCAAGTGCGTAAAGATAAGAATTGGATTACAGTGAAGCCAGCTCCACATGCTTTTATTGTTAATATTGGTGATCAAATTCAGGTAACATACACTCTCACTATTTCTCTCACTAGATTATCTACATACGTAAAACATCTATATGTTTGATTGAGATTTATGAAACGTATAGGGCACATGGAGGGGTCATGTTTTTGATGGGTAAGTAACGAGTATTTATGCAACAACCGGCCAAAAGTTTTTGTTTTTTTTTTTCAAGGAACTTGTCACTTGGTCCCGTTTTAGTACATAGGGGCGAAGAGATCTCAACAGTCATGAAAAGCTTGAATTATGCCCACTAGCGCACCGAAGGAGCATGAATATATAGTTTCCTCTCTTAGTTTGAACATGAGGATGAACCTATAAAATTTCTTTATGCTCAAAAAAGAAAGTAAAATCACATTTAGCTTCTCGTTTAGACCTTATTAGTTGACAAATAAGCAGAAGATAAGAACTTGGCATGACTTGATTCTTACCTATTAGACGTTCTTTCTTCTGTTTAAGTAATTGATTAATTACTTGTCACATCCACTATTGCAATTTGCCAATTCCTCGAGGAAATTAAGAGTTTACAGGCCTATAAAAAATAATTGAGTACTATTATTTGTCATTAGTTTATTGCGTTCATTTTTCACTCTATTTTCATTGGCTATTAAGATGTGATCTCAAGAAAGCATTTGCTCGTCCTTTTTGTAACAATTGGCTTCTACAAACGCATCAGTTATCCAATGCCACGTTCAAAACATGTGGAATAGGATTAAAATATTGAGCCACTCAGAAATAAAATAATATTACTGATAAATCGAGAGATTTTAATGATTCAATGAGCAATGAGTAACTAATATAACTTATTGCAAATAAAGAGAAACACAAATAAAAGAGAAATAAAAAAGAAAAAATTAAAAAAAATAAATCAACATGAAAATCTTCATATTACTTTTATTGGGTTCGAACATAATTCTTTTTTATATTTTTATCTCTTTTTTCAAAAATAGATTCATTAAGTAATCAGTATATATAACCCATAAAAGTAACTACCGTACATATACATTAGTTATTTCTTAAATATTATAAAATTTGTAATGAATTTTTTTTTTGACGTCTCAACAACTTCTTTAGCTTAAACAAGTAAATAATAACTTGTAAAAAAAAAGAGTGGTAACTTACAAGGATGCATGTATTCACAAGGTAGTTTAATTATCTAAATATCCTAATTACTACCATGCATTGTGGCTTGTCCCTAACTACCATTCCATCAAATTTAGTGCAATGAATGAATATATGAATAATTTGTCGTATACCTAAAACACTGTGGAACCCACCTATAATTTATTCCATAGTAATTGTCTTCGACACTAAAATTTTGCTAATTGTCGTTATCTAACTGACAATGAAGTGAATGGTAAGGGTTGATAAAAAAATTATTGATTTGAGGGACCTAAATTACATTTTTAAAAGTAGATTTCATTGTGCTAGCATCAAATTATTCCTTCCATTTCAGCAATTAATTCCATATTAAGCAATTTTGTAATATATATATTAATTAGGTGCTAAGCAATGCAACTTACAAGAGCGTGGAGCATAGAGTGATTGTAAACTCATCAAAAGATCGTGTCTCTCTTGCTTTCTTCTACAATCCAAAGAGTGATATACCCATAGAGCCAATGAAGGAGCTTGTGACACCAGACAGACCTCCACTCTATCAGGCAATGACGTTTGATGAATACAGACTCTTCATAAGAACGAGGGGTCCCAGTGGCAAATCCCAGGTGGAGTCTCTAAAATCTCCAAGATGACGACGCCAATATATAATTAATATTTAAGCAAATTTCTTTCTAGCTAGTTTATTATATTATTGTAAATCATAATTAAACATTAATTCCCTTCATTGGTTAGAATTTGAATAACTGTACATCTTGTAATCATAGAAGGGGCTGCTTTCAGAAAATGTATAAAAATATAATAGAATGAAATGAGAACAATAGATAATTAAAAATTAAGGAAAAAATTTTCTATATATCTTCTCTCTTTTGATAAAAAAATTGGGCCCAAAAAGATTCTAATTACATCTTGTGACGAAATGTTGTCCCGACTAAGCACCGTTGATTAAGGAAAAGTTGCAGATTAAAAAACACGTGACATTTAATTAATTATTGAAGTTAAAATATTAGTTATGTTAGAAGTTGTATTTTATTCCCTCACAAAAATATAAAAATTATTATAAAAATAATTCATAAATCCTATATTTTAGAAAGAGAGAGAAGTCCAATTTCTAATGTGCTGAATAATTTCTCATTATTGTAACATAGATTGACATTAAAATACCAAAATATTGCACAAGTGATTTGACCTTTTGCAAGGTATGATATATAATTACAAAAATTCACCTTCAATGTCAGGAAAAAGAAAAAAAAAAGAGTAGAAGATGAAGAAGGTGGAGCCAGAATAAATATATGGTTGTCATTCATTCTCCACGATGGTGTGGTTGTGAGATTTATTTTAGAGTAATATTTTTTTTTAATAATTAACTATTTGATGGATATAGTACACAATAAACAAGTGAATTTTGTTAATGACTACCATAAATCTAATGATTGATAAATTTTATAAAACAATTATATAAAAATAACATTACTCTTTATTTTATTTATAATCCGTATGTTGAAGCATTCAATACATCATCTAATTTATTTATGAATAAATGAAGTCAAAGATCAAGAATACCACTATTTATGATCACTTATATTGGGGTTATCCGATTTTGAATCATCATTAAGTTTCAAGCTTGCAAAAGCCAATTCTGTCTTTTAATTACCTATTCGTGTCTTTTGAGCTTTATCTCGATCTAAATGGACAACACATATGATATGTATATTAGAAAAATAATATATACACTTGATTGATACGAGACATTAATTATTTTTTTATTCGTCAATCATGTTTTAAAGTCAATTCTGTCAACTATAAATGTTGGTTCTTCTGGAATTATGATAAAATAACCAAAAAGGTCACATGTTTGTTGTCGTATTAGCTTTTATGGGTTTTTTTTACTACGAAATTCAAAGATCAAAATTATTGCCTCGTAATGGGAAAGGATTTCACTACGATTCTTTTTACTACCATGTGATTGAAAAATAATCAAAATCTATCTATCTATCAGTTAAGATCACAAGTAGCTTAGTTGGTTTTAAAAAAGAACCTTTGGCTGTTGAAAATCAGCCTCAATATTGTGTCATCATGAAGGCAAGTTTGGGTGGCCTTTGGCAGCTGCTGATGGTGTGGTGCTATTTATGTGTCACTAAATCCAAGTCCAAAAAGACTTATAAATTGTGGTCGAGTCTTCGATCGATGTTGATGTTTCTTTAGTTTAACGTCCCACATAGGTCTTGCAAGAGTAAATTAGAAATTTGTCCCTTTAGTTTTTTCAAAATAAATTAAATAATTGACATAGTTTCAAAAACTAATTAATTAGACTTTAAGTTTTTAAATCTATTAGTGGCATTTTTTTCCGTTCTTTTTCAATTGATTTTAATCTTTTGTTTTAAAAAAATATAAAAAATAAAAATAAAAGAAATGATATTTTTTGAAACAATATAATATTAAATCTACAATGATCAACGATCAATGATTAATTAATTAATTTTTAAAATTTGATGGATTATTTAATTCATTTTGTAAAACTAGAAGGATTGATTTCTAATTTACTCGGTATTACAAAACAAGTAAACGTAAGAATTCATGCTCGGTATACAACTAGGGATGGCAATGGGTTAGGTATCCGGCTCATTAAGCTTATCTCTTATCCTATCCATTAAAAAATACTATATCCATTACCGTATCCATTATCCACTAAAAATCATTTATCCATTTCTTTACCCCGTCCACATTCATTATAGCATACCCCGCCCATACCCCGTCCATACCCATTTACCCACTAACTTTTTTCTTTAAATTGAAAACTTTTTTTTTCAATTTTTTTTACTGAAATTTTCTTTGATTGAAATGATGAAGTTAATTAATATGAAGTGGTCGTTCAAGTTAATTAATATGAAGTGGTTGTTAAAGTTAATTAAGATTTACGAGTTGGACTATCTTACAAGCCATTATTTAATTTATTTTTTATTTTTATACAAATTTTTTTCCTTAATTGAGAAAGATAAAAAAAATTTATAGTGATTTTTTCCGAGTCATTGACTCTTATTTTTCTTATAAATCCAAAAAGACACCGCAATAATTAAACTTGAAATTTGCTCCAAGACGTTCTGCTGAACCAAAATAAGTCCAAAAGCTTTTGCATTTAGTAGAAAAAAGTATCAGAGCACACTTGAGATTGAAAAATGAAGCAAAACAACAAACAAAACTCTTTGACTTTTTTGGTATGTTTCATGACCATGGATCATTTGGAAGGAAATAAATCAGGTAATAACATCACTTTATTTATTTATTATTATTATTATTATTATTTATGTATAATTAATTAAGTAACCGAAGATATTGACCGTCGAGTGTGGATAATATAAAAAAATCTCAAGTACGGCAGTAATATTACCATTATAATAATGTCCAAAATATGATAATTGAGTCGTGAATAAATACTATCCACAATTGATCGATAAAAAAAGTAGGCTATTAATCTATACTAAGAGTAATATTAATAATGAGATTTGCAAAGAATAATTCACAAATTATAACAAAAATAATAATAAAATAGAGATATTCATTAGTCAAATTGCATGTGTGACTCGTTTGGATAAATGTCAAACTCGAATGATAAATAATAATAACGAAATCGTAGTTAATTACATAAGTGCCTTAAAAATACTACTTGTTTTTTAATATATAAATAATAATAATAATAATAATATCAACGAAACCATTTGAATGATTAATTACATACTTTTTTCTTCTTTTTTTTTTTTTGTTTATTTTAACATTTTGTGTCTTAGTACTTTTTATGTTAATGGATAAAAGATAGGTATTAGTAGGATAAAAAAAGATATCTATATTCATGAATAAATTATCCATCAATATAAATAGATAATGCTATTTTACTTATATTTAGTTCATTATCCATTATGATATTTTAAAAAATAATTAATGAACGAGCTGGATAGGGTATCGATTTTGTAGCCTGCCCCGCTGCCATACCTAAATACAACCCTCACGTGATGAAACACGCAGCAAAAATGTGGAAGAGAACAAGAGCTAAGTATGTTAATAGAATCTCGAGCCGCTAGCCAATATTGAAGACATGTCTTACATAATAGGACAATGATAAATATTTGTTAATTAAAGGAAAGAGCTGAATTATTAGCGTCTAACAGAATTACATAACCATAAATTATGTTGAAAGTTGAAGCTGAAATTTACTTTCATAAGCATCTTTAGAATACTGTCAAAATATCGAATTTTCTATAAATATATAGATATCATTTATTGAAACAAATTAAATTTTATCATTCTTGTCTCCAACATAATTAGTCTTATTTTTATTGTGAAATCAAAATATCTTTTTTAAAAAAATGAATTATCACGTTGATAACAAATTTTGAATGAGTATTTAAATTGAACAATTTGTTGGAGATTTTCTGAAAGGAAGCCAACAAAATATAAAAGGATAATCTTTAAAAAAGATAAATTTTTATTTGATCGAAATTATGAAGTCCATAAGCATAACATAAAATTTGTTTAGAACTGCTCGAAATATTGTTTAATGGGGCATTATTATCAAGAAAGAAAATAGTAGAGTGGATCAGCTTGTTTTGATTCCACACTTTTACAAAGAGAAAAAATATAAATAAAAAAACACGATGCAACTAATGTCATCTCGTTCTCGTAATTAAAAAAAAAAAAAACTAAGGTAATCCCTCACTCCACATTACTTCGCAAGGTCACTTCCCCAAGACGAGACAGGGGGTTTCCTCAATCAAAGCAAATTCCTTTTCTGCTTTCAAGAATTCGTTGGCTTTATAAAAAATACCTTCGCAAGGTCTGATTAATTGGCTTACTATATACATATATATGCAACCAATTCTATCAAATTTAGAAAAACCAATCCTCTCCTCAACATGAAGCAATTAATTTTGAAGAATCCCAAACGAGAGAGAGAAGGGACCATGCCTCGCTGAAATAATTGATTGTATGGACAAAAAATAAAAGAAGTGGATAATTTATTTATTTATTATTTTTTTTTTAGAAAGAACTAGAAAAGTTCATGTCAATTGTTGTTGGAAAAAGAAATTTGATGCCATCTCAAGATTTTATATCGTATGGTATACAAAAGATCAACTTAGCGAAATAATTGATTTCCAATTGCTGGTATTCAATCTTGTTGCGTAATACAGTGTTGCTGTGCACTTTTTTGTCAATTTGTAATGACAAAGAGCCAGTCGGGAAAGAGACAAAGTGCTCCTGTATACTATTATCTTACCAATTATCAATCTTATGAGCTATATCCAATAGGAACACAACATGTCTATATCAATTGGAATTGTATAAAAATAATCAGAGGTAGATATCAACTGAAATTGGATAAAAATAATCAGAAATAGATATTAGAAAGTCTGTTTCTCACTTAGATGTGGACTTAGCAGACTTATTTTGTATAATTAAAACAGGCAAGGAGGTTGTAGAACACCATTTGAATTGAAATGAAATTAATATCTATAATTGACTATTTCAAATAATTATCTTCATCTTTTTAAAAATCATTGAAAGTTCTAAGAAAGACGACAAATTTTATCTACCAGGTGTTAGATCCAGTGCCTTAAAAAATATGGATTAATTAGAACCAGCATGCTCTTTGCCATAAATCTTTCTAGTCTTCCAACTTTATTAATCCCATCCACTGGTCCGATGTTTCCACACGTATAGTTAATTTCCCATCTCAAATATTTGGAACTACCAATAAACGAAGTGTTTTGGTCAATTACGTTAATTTGTTGCAGTTTCATTGCCTCTTGCTTTTACTAGTTATTTTGTATTCCCTATTTTCTTCTTACTTTTATAAGTTTTTTTTTTAAGATCGAAATCCACTTCGAAATCTCATTTTTTAGGTTTTTTTGTAACCCCAAGCGGTACAATTAGCTTAGATTGCTCTAGTTTAAGAATTAAGACTTTTTGTTTGTTTCTTTTTCTAAATTTTGTATTTCTAGAATTAATTTTCAGATTTCTACTTTATTTTATTTTTTAGTTACCTTAATCAACTAAGACAAAGTACTTGTCATATGGTGATGCATAGGTGATCGTAAGAGATATAATTCGAAATATCGAGTCGTCACTCAATTTAATTAAAAATAAAAACTAAAAAAAGCCTAACAACTTATCTTATTAATTTTTTTTTAATAAGGAAGTTGATTATACAATTAGCAAAGACCACTAATACCTTAATGTGTCATCATAATGAGGTTATTATTTAATTTCAATTTCTAAGAATTATTCATACAAAATCTAATTTTTATGTCCAGTGGCTATCTTATTTTATGAGTTGATTATTGAGTTTTTTCAAAATAATAAAGGTATGAGCCTTGAGCCCTATTAACATGCCACGTCACTTAAAACTATGAAACTAGGCCTTATAAAGTCCATTATCAAAATTAGAACTAAATGTCCAAGAAAGAGAAAAAACTAAATCAGATATAAAAAACCCACAAATTATGTAGAGACAATCACATAAAAATTAAAATAATCGATTAGCTTGTACAAAGTATTTGACTTATTGATTTATATTGGGTTATTTAAATTTTGTCTCAACATAAAAACAAATGCTAGCCTATTGATGGCTTGATTATTGACCAAAAGTCATCATGAAATATTTACAAGGAAAATAAAATAAAATAATATTTATACAGTAATACTTCATCAAATTGATAAAGTTTAAATTTAAAACATAGTTTTCACGGAGATGTATGCAGATCAAGTCTTTATTTATTTATTTATATATTGCACATATTAAGTTTGAGCAAAAGAAAAAAGGAAATACCGCATTAACAAACAACCAAGACCCCAAGTGCTTTATTATGCAACTAAGCCCAATCTAAAAAATTAATAGTCCAATAAATCATTTAATTTTCATATTAATCACATTAAACGCGACACTATATCCTAAAACAACAAAACTTATTATGCGTATGCGACATAGTGATGTCAATTAACGCAATAACAAAAGACTAAGGATTTGCATACCTCAATTGGAAGTGCAGGGACTAAAAACACTAAGAAATGCGAATTCAGGAATTGGACGGAACGAAAAAAAATAAAAGGTATGGCAAAATGGGCGTTTTGGAGCGCGTGTCACAATATTCATTAACCTACTTATGCGCACGAGAGTAATAGGATGGTTGGAATGGAGGTGGACCGACAGTACTAGCTTCGTCTCCACCGACCGATATTGGTGGGATAGTTGAAAGAGGTGGAAGTGGCGAGCAGCGACATTGTTTCCATGTACCTTTCTGTTTCTGTTAGTGTTTTTTTCTTTCCCTAAATTTTTTTGCTAGGTTTTCTATTTCTTTATGTATGTCTTGGGTGCTGTTGGCAGTGTATTTATATAGGTGCACCTTTGAGTTGGTTTAGGCTTTTATTATCTTTTATTTTTCTTGATTTGCTTTTTCCTTTTTTTGTTATTTTTCCTCTTTGAAACTGGGCAACTTTGGACTATCAGGCTTGGCACGCATCTGGATTGTTTTAAGTGTCATTACTAGCACATAATAAGGAATATTTTTAAATAATAAAAATTCATTGCAAATTAATATGGACAAAAATTTAAAACTTTTTACCTTGATCATTAAGAAATTTAGGGATTAAAATCATATTATTATATTTTATGGTATAAAGATTACCAAACTATTAAAATAATTTTATCAAAATTTTTAGATGATTGACTCGAGTCACAACTAAATTGCTTTCTTAAGACAATACGTATTACATGTAAAATTTATCTAATATAACGGATCAAATATGTGTTGCATGTTGTCTTATAAATATAATAAGTTCAGTCATCTTGTCGTATCTTAATAAATTTACAATAATTGTAAGACTTAAAACTCAACATAAAAAAACAATACCACTCTTATATAGATTTATAACACAAAGGAAGTTTAAAAAACATGGTTTTTGGTGGGAGGCTAAAAAAAGACAAAAAATAAAAGAATTTTTTTTAATAAAGTATTATTTGTTATTTTTAACTTACCACTGTAAAAGGATTATGCTTTTGTGCCATCAATTGTCAAATTATATATAGTAACAAAAAATTCTACATTCAAAAGGAAGTGAATGATTGAATTTAAAATAATTAAACTGCATAAAACAAGTACATTTTTAATTGTAAAAAACTAATGCCTTTAGTGTCTTTTTAAAAGCTATTTATTGCTCATTAAATTATTTTGACAACCGTTTGAAAAAGGTAATAAACATACAACTAACAATTGTCGTTCCAAAATGATAACAAAAGGACAATTAATGGTTATGACTTTTTTTATTAAAAAATATTTCAACAGTTTCTCACCAATTTTTTTAATAAAATATTAAGGATATTTTTTTGATAAAAAGACAAATATAATACGCAACAAGAGTATTAATAACTTGAACATTTATTTAGTGTTTCAATAATATTGCTCTCAAGCTATTAATGAACATCGTCTTGAACTAAAACTTTTTAAGATGAACAAATTTTGTATCGCATATATTATATTTAGGTACTTAGTGACGAGTTTCGGAATCAGCACATTACAACCATGTGTTTGATCCTAATTTCTATGAATTTTCTAAAGAATTAATCAAATTCTTATAGGAAGTGGCCCATTCTTCACTCATATATGTGTATCTATCAAAAATACTCTTATAACTTTAACATTCCATTAAAAAAGAACTAGATATTATATTAAAAATTTTATCTAAAGAAATTTAATCTTTCTTTTGTTATGAGATTTATGCATTATGTTGTAGAGATGAACATGTCAGTATTATAACTTAAATAAATGATACGTATAATAAAATCACTCCATGCTTGTTTTCTCATTGATCTTAGTTTTTGGGATCTCTAGTCCTTGTGTAGAGTGTCTACATATGTAATTTTACTCATTTATAGACTTAGTCTTATCCTCCTTAATGTACCATCCAATCTTTTGATTTTAGCTAAAAAATCTAATCTCACAATGTTCAACGTGTATACCCAAAAGATTAGGTAATAAACACTAAATCAATTTTCTAGTGCTATGACAAGCGGTAAGAATTTTTTATTCTTACTATCTTTTGTGTCGTTATCCGACATTAAGAGGACTTCCATAAATATTTTTATATTAACAAAAATTTGTTTATTTGTTTTCTTTACTCGGGGATGTGAGTTAATCTATGTTTTGGAGTTGCCACCTATTATTAAAAGACCTAAGAAACCTAAAAATAGCACTAGTTCAAAGATTCTAGGAAAAAACGTTGGTTATGCTTTTAGAAAAATATCAATCACCTAAAGATACCATTTATGAAGAAATGTATTATGTTTGATCTAATCCTAAAAGTTTATCTCCTAAAAATTTATACTTTTTCCAAATTATTCCAAAGTCAAAATTCTAAGTTTATTATCTAGGTCAAATTAATTTTTTTTTTTGTGATATCATATTGAATAGATCGTCGGATCCTATTGTCGAAAGTCTCATCAATTTAACATCGAATCTAGTTTAAGTTTCGACATAACCGATCTGTTGAAGAATATCCTAATTATAAAAATATGATTGATTTGAATTAACATAAGTCTTTATTAGGTAGAAGACTTGTTAATTTTCGCCTAGCATTTTCTTTATTTTTTTGTTCTTTTTTTTATCTTTTTTTATGTCTTTTTTTTATCATTTGTTTTCAAAGGATGATGAAGAATCATCATTAGTTTTTAAAAATTAGGAGACTCGATCATTCATCAACGTACTAATTACCTAATTAAACTATTGGTTATTCAAGTCATGTTTGAGATTAAAATAAAAATTTTAAAGTTAAATTAATAGTCTCTACTCATTTTACAAGAGTCCAAAATTTAATCACAAAATTTAGATTCAATTAATATTAAATATTAAGCTAAATTGAAATTTAAATAAGAAAAGAAATTAAAGGTTAAGCATTAAACTAAATAAATTGAAATAAATGAGCAAAAAGAGTTCAAAAATTCCAAAAAAAAAAAAAACTTAGACTAGGCATGAGAAGAAGAAGCACGTATAGAAAATTCAGATTTAATTTACCTATAGAAATAGTTAAAAATGATGAAAAAATTTATTGGGCCTTGGTTCCAATGGGCTTTCGATTCATTAGGCTAAGCCCACTTGGCAAGCCTCGCTTCTTTTCTCCTCTCTAGCTTGGGGTGAGCTAAGCCTAGCCCACTTATTCTTGCATAGGTCGGGTTCAGCCTAGCCCACTCTTCCTCCATACAGAGCTAGGTTAAGCCTAGCTTTTCATTTCTAAAACTCTTCATCAATCCAACACAAAAACAAAATATCAATCACTTAAGCTTTCTCTCCTTCTTGTCATCACGTTTCTTCCCGATCTAAACCAATCATTCATAAAAAAAATTGATCTCCTTTTCTTCCTCGAAACCTTAAACATCTCTTATTCCAATTATTTTCCTATTCTTAAATAGATCAAACCCTTATTGAAGCCTTTTGATTTCCTCTTTTTCTTCAAATCTAAAAATCCTAAACTTTCTCTCTTTTCTTAACTCCGTCCTCCTCTTAACTCGAATCCTAGAACGAAACATGTTACCTCTTTAATTAAATTAAGCGATTTTCAGCTCTTTTCTCTTTCACCTCACAAATTTAAATACAAAAGGGAAGTTAGACAGGTAGGAGAAGCGGGGTTGCATGAAGACAGTGATGAAATCATTATCATCGATCATTTTAAATTAATTAATAGCTAAATCAATACAAGTGAAGCTACAAATCAATAAAGGAAGCAAAAATTGTTACTTGGGTGTCCGATTGATAAAGTTTGGCTTAAAAAGAACAATTGATAGTGAATGATTGTTACTTTGACGAGGAGAGAATACTTTCTTCGAAAAACCTAGAAACAATAAAAAACCTAATGATCTCTCTTAGGAAAATAAGAGTTTGTTTACCCCAAAGAAACCCCAAAAATTTCCATATTTAAAAACCTAGTAAAAACCTTAAGTTTTCTCTCTAAGCCTCTCTTGAAATTCTTTCTTGCTCTTACACCTAGAAGGTCAAGTGGATTTCAAAATCCTTTTACATAGAGAACCAATAGAAACCCTAGACTTTCTTTATGAATTTCTTACAATTTCTATAATACCCGGTACTTGTTAAAACTAAATTTCAATAAAAAATTAACTACTAAACACATGCAAGAAATGTTTTGGAGGTATAAAATTATCCAAAAATTTAACTTACTGGGCCGTAGCTCACTTAGTTCTTGTTGATGTAGATACTTAAGGTACAATGGCTTACTTTTCTTCGAAGTTGATTTCGAAAGATGTACCCGATGTTTATACCTTGGATGGGGCTTCGTGTTCTAGGTGGACTTGCTACATGTTATTTTATTTATGATACTAGCTATAGTCTTATGTGTCCTAGGACTAGTTGGTTTGCTTTATGTCATACTAAAATCAATGAATAAGTAAATGTAGTACTTTTAAAGAAATGTAGTTAGTAAATAAGCAAATTTTGTAGTAGTTGGCATATAACTGATTTTGCATGTAAATAATAGCTTGTATGTAACCGAAGTACTAGTAGTAAAATGATAATGCAATGGTGGTAGCGTAGTTGCTTTAAATTATCCATTGCATGCTACTATCCTTAAGACACTTAGGAAGTTGATTAGATGCGTGCCCAATAAAAAGGAAAAAGAAACAAGTAATATAATAATACTAACAAATGATAACTAATTGAATTTTCAACAATGAATAAGGAAAGAATTTAAAATAATAGGTAGCCACAAAATCAGTAATCCAATTCAAAGAATGTAAACAAATAATTAAAAATAAAAAATTTATAACGTCTTTTTAGTTAAAGTATAAGACCTACCTAGCCAATATTGGATTTCTATGGCATAGATATCACTTTAGGCATTAAGATTAAGTCACAATGCCTTATTAACTTGCATTCAAGTACACTTCGAATGTAGGTTAACAACGATAATATTCTCAATCGTTTAGATCCTAAGTTGGGGTGTTACAATTACTCTGCTTCTTTCTCCAAATTCTTTGTCTTTTTTTCTTTTTTTCAAAACCTTATTTCAAACCCTATTTATACTTAAAAGGCTCCTCACAAAAGCAACCAGACTAAACATTCATGTAGCTAAACCGCATCTAGGCAGCATGCATTTACAACATCCCGAATCTATAGTAATTCTAGCAACTTATTGTCCAATGACTTCGCAGGGAAAACTATGGGTACTAGCTATGTGATCACATTATGAATGTTTTACGTAAGTTACCAAAATATTAAAGGCAACAT